GCGGTGCGGAGCGCGGCGGCGAGATAGCAGCTGCGCGATAACGCATACGTGCGCGGCGGCACGGTATATAATGCGTAACGCTAATATATCGGCGAGCGATACGCGCTACGCGCTTATTTCTGCGCTCAATTTATTTATGGAGCCTCCCCCTCCCTTCCTCCCTCACCTTCGATACCGGACGGTATCGGTCGGCAGATATTTGCCGATGAACGAAAGCGAAGTTCCTACGGAAATACACGGAACAATACGGACGGTACTCATTACGTTCAACGAGCGTCGCGGACGATGCTTCCAACGCGCAATCGATATCCTGTTTGAACGGCAGCTCCGTACAGAGGCAGATAAAAAAACTGATTAAAAAAAAACACCGCCGCCGTTGGTGATGATGAGTGCGCGAACGACGGTCACCCGGCGCTTATGATAGCCAAGCGTTACATCTCACGTGACGCACGTTTCAACAGTGCTAACTGTTTATATTACCAAGTTACATACAGCGCGCGGAAAGCCAGCTGGATAAAACGAGATAACAATTATACGCTTCCCGAGAGCATTCCCTCCTTTTACTGTAATATCTCACGCGTATATATTCGTTATATTTAGGTCGCTTTCGCAAAGTTAACGGAGATATACAGCACAGCGCGCGCGTATACGCGACGCTGTTAACATATAATCTTATTGTAATCAAGCATATGCGTGTATCATTCGTAAAGCTTATTGTAATTAGATTTGCGCATCGTACGCGTGACGCTTCGTATGCTGGTCGTCGTGCAAAACGATTAATTTCGATCCGTGCGCGCGGAGCATTCGCAGTGGTCGGTTAACGGCAAGGCCATAAGCAGAAAGAGAGTCTCTCTCTCTCTCTCTCTCTCTCTCTCTCGCGGCTCTTTTCGACTCTCCCCGGGGTTGCGCGAGCTGTCGCTACGAGCGAGCGAGCGAGGCGAGTCGGCGCGGCGATACCACGCGGAGAGAGGCCGTTGGCCCCACGGTCGACCGTGCAATGGTGCAGTGTGCAACTTCTCTGTCGCGGCGGTGGGAAGGAGGGGGAGGGGCGCGAACGCACGCACGTATGCACGCATGTACGTACGTGAGAGTGCTCACGCGAGCTCTACGCGAACGTGTATCGTCCGCCAAGTCATCCGCGTGCGGGGGCACGAGAGCGTACGAGAGCCTTGAAGTGAGGATTGCGTGTGGGTCGCGTCGCGACGAGAGAGGGAAGTAAAGCGCGAAATAGAGAGGAAGAAGGAGAGAGAGAGAGAGAGAGAGAACATGCGTGTGCATCAATTCGTATCTGAAGAGTATATGCAAAACCGGAGTTTGTAAGTTGTCATGACGTTTTGACCGCTGCGAATGCACCGAGTAAATCGGCGTAAAATGGATGTGCGCGAATTAAGGAAATATCGAATTTAACTTATCGCGCCTATAAACGTTCTCTTGCGTCGGCGCCTTCAATGACGAAATAGAAAGAGAGATCCGAGATCAGATGTGTGTTAACGGCAACGCATTTCTCTACGAAAGATTTCTCATTTTCACGAATATTTATAATGTGGAAAGAACACAAGGATTTTATATGTTTGTCTTCTAAATGAAAATTGAGTATTTCAAAAAAAATTTTTTAATTAAATATTTTTGTCCTCGCAATATTGAAAAGCTTCAATTTTTTAAATTTCAGATTATTCACGAATTATTAGTCGTATTGACTAATACACAATACTACTAATGTATATTACATTTGTAACGCGTGATGACTGACGAACAGATCAACTCGCGTTGTATACCGTAATCAGATATCGAGAGGATTAAAGCTGTTGAATTAACAGACACGCATACAAAAGCACGTACGCGCACGCAGTGCGCAAAATGATGATTATATCATCGCGCATTACGCGGCCCGCTCCAAAATCGAACGTACACTTTCCTACAAACAGCATCGGAGCAGCGAAGAGAGGTCCATCACTCCATCCCCGATGTTCTCTGAACAATCCGCTTCCCGATGGAAAGCCGCATTCCACATTCATGAAATATACAGGAGACGAAACGAGCGAGAGAGCAGCGGTCGCTCTCGTTTCTCTCTCGGTCGAAGAGAGACCGTCGGCCGTAGATGCTGAATATTGGTCGGATTCGAGAAGACGACGATGACGACGGCGGCGGCGGCGGCGGACGCGGGAGCGCGCGGGTCTCGGCGCAGGGAACCGGGGCGCCCCGGGGCACGGAGAATACGGTCGTCGTCCTCCGTGTTCCCGGGGAACAAAATGTATGTGAGAAACACATAGCCGATGTTCCGGCTGCTGTCAATTTCCTACGAGTCGGTCGGGAGATCAGCCAGCGCGCGCGCGCGCGTGCACGAGTGAAGTCAACGTGCTTTCTATTTATTTATTTCCCGTCTGGCGACAACCTCACCGGGAAATGCCGCCGGGGGTTCGAGTACCGGGGCCAGATGGGAACCGCGTCCCGATATCGCTTATTGCTCGTTAGAGCCGCTCGGCGACGTCGCGGCTTTCTTCTTCTTCTGGACGCGGAAAAGAAAATCTCGCCATTGCATGGCCGCGGTTCGCGGCGAGAGAACGCGATTTTTCTCGTTCCTTAACGGTGACACGCGGATACTTGCGTGTCACGTATACGTTATCCACTGCGAGGTACTCACGTCAAAACTGATCTGCCCCTCCAGTCAATAATTAATTATGAAAAATAAAATTTTGTCTAGTAAACAACTTTATCCACGTTCGCCCTCATTCAAAATTTTTTTTCCGCGACCTTAAGACGACGCGACGTATGAGCTTCGTAATGTGAACGCGCAGAGATTAAAAACAAACTACGCATCGTGGATGATTTGAGATAACAGAGATATCGTATCGTCAGTCAGAGGCAAAGAAAAGCTCGCGAGGTTGCTGTTCACGATCGTCGTTGCCTTCAACGAACTGTCATGTCGGACCTCGTGTATGAAATTAAATTATGCGCCGCGCGCCGTCTCGCAACACGTAATTTGCCGGGGGATGACGATCAGCAAACTCGTGGCTATTGTACTCAACAAATTAATGCGTCAGGAAACGGAACGGTGGGGGGTCCTTTCGGCGCGAGTCCAGCCCGGTGTACCCGCCGCCGCCGGCCCCGGCGATGATACTGTGATGATGCACGCGATAAACCGGGAGATCGGCCGGAGGAAGCGTGTCGAATCCGGACTTCACGCCTCTCGATCGCGCTAACGTCCGCGATTTTTCTCCGGGGTTATTTATCACGACGGTTCATCGGGGGACGTGCGTGCGGGGGAGGTGAGAAAGGGCACGCCAGAAGTCTGGCTTCTTCCCACGGATAAAGAAGCGCGTCTGCTCGCGCGAAAAACTCGTCTGGGTGTCCCGCCCGCTCCGCGCGCGCCCTGCATTGCCTTTCTTGCCGCTTCTCCCATGCCCTTCTCACGCGCACGCGGTTTCGGCTCTATTGGCGAAATTTATTCGGCGCGGTGGAACGTCCGGGCCCGGCGCACGATATGTCACACATGTTGGCTCCATGTTCAGATGGCAGATCGTCTTTGTCTTCGTACGCTGCAACTGTGCACGAAAACGCGAGTGAACGCCAACAAGATATCGTGCGCACCGATCGAATGATACAGCGTTACTTCATCAAGGCTGGCGCGCGGATATACCTTGACATCATTCATAATCACAGTAAGAATTATTCTTTATTCAAAGAGAGATAAACGTTTTGAAAATCATTGTATAATCCCTCATTGAGATGCGAACGACAATGACTGGGTATTTGCGCTAATCTTGAGGGGTTTGCGACCGAATTTTGCGCCCGAGAGTGAAAGACGCGGGAGAATCGCGCGCACATCCGGCATTTCGAGTCTAGATAATACCGATCCGAGGGCGTTATCTGCCTGTCGCCCACGAAAAATCCACGAAACGTGCAATCGCATAATACAGAGAATCCCGAGTAGGCGGTGACGGCGGCCTCCGACGGCAGTGCGCCAAGTATAAGAATGTAACGCGGAGTCGCTTGCGCGCCCGACGCTCGAGAGGTTTATAGCGACATTATTAGTACGACGACACTCGGCGCGCGCGCGCGTGACGCCCCGGCACGACGCTTCATAAATATAAATTCGAATGCATAATCGATGAAAGCGAGCGTCTACCGAGCGATGGCAGCTGCATGACAAATGGACGCGTCGGAGTCATCATCATCATCATAGTTGACATCGATCGGGAGAGGAATACGCGATATTTTAGAGCAGAAAAAAATTCCATTACAGCGAAAGCTATTATTCAATTTATACGTGACTTCGAATTGCGAGAATTATGCTCCGCGAGCGTAATATTCAAATATTTTTATTCTGAATGCGTCGTAAAAAATTGATGGACCATTTTGAATGGATTTTGTGCTCGTTAATGGGAAATGGGGATGTGGTCTCGTAAAATCGTACAAGTATATAGTTCAGCTAAAATAATCATTTTCTTCCGACTTGCGATACAATATTCGTGTTTTCGCATCCCCCCCCCCCCCTCGGTGGAAACAAAAACAATAATAATCCACGAACAGCAAAATATGTTAAATCAGATTTTCCGTTTTGATTAAATAAAATGTAGCATAGAGTGATGGGCAAAAAGCATTGTCGTTAATTCCGAACGATTCGGCCAAGGCCATACGCGTGCAATGACTGCTCACGATGCGTATCGCTGCACATAGCACTGCATATAATATCGCGGTTCAAGTTTAGCTACCGCATCTTCCGCGCATACATTCGCGATCTCGTTCGCCGCTTATCGCGCGTCCCACTTCCCGTCAGGAATTCATTTATCTGGAAATTATTTTAGTCGGTATCACGCCCACGTTCTCGGCAAAGTTATTTAAACTAAGCAGCGAAGTATGTAGTTAAATTATCGTACGATGAAAATATTCAGCGTTGATTATATGCAACTACATGTCATTTTTAAAAGCTTAGAATTTCTGTCATGTAATTCTTACGTCTAAAGAGCCTCAATTGTCAATCAAAATTATTCAAAAAATAATTGAAAGGGATAAAAGATTCATTTTAATAGCACTTTTACAATTTGCTTTTGTAATTTTTCATTTCTGTAATATCGAGAATGTTGTATACCCCATCGACAAACGATAACTTTAAAATTGGTCGATGCATCAAACCGTATGATCAAATAAACATGACAAATCCTCATCCCTATTCACCTTCCTTGAGAAGCTTCGCTTGCTTGTTTGACGGGTGACTGTTTCGTGTGGGAAATTCTTTGCTTCACTACACATTGGACTCTTGATTCTGCGCGAGGGTCCCATATGCCTGCTCAATTTCCGCAAATGTCTTGTCTTTGGTCTCCACCATGAAGAAGATCACGAATAACAAGCTGAGGGCGCACATCAGGGCGAAGAAGGCAAACACCACGGAGTAATCTAGTACTTCAGCGGCGCTTGGAAATACCATCGTAACCGTAAATGCCAATAGCCAATTGAAGAAAGCTGCGCTAGACGACGCTGCGCCCTTCAAGCGCGTGGGGAAAATCTCGCCCATGTAGGCCCACGGAATTGGACCTGGCACAAGTCAAACGCTTGATGAGAATTTTGCAAATAACGGTGTTTAACGCATCTGTCATAAAAAAAACCATAACAAAATGATATGGCTAATTTGGACGTGGGTATACATTACATGCATTAATCAAATGAAGAACAAATCTAACATAAATTTCTTTGAAGATATTGATCAAAGAATGCGAATTGTATAACATATATATGAGAGAAAATGTAACTACAAAGGAGTTGCAAGGGCACGTATGTAATGTAATAACTCTCGGTTTCGTCTTCGTAAGGAGAATGTAGCGTATTTTCTGATAGCTCGATCAATAGAAGTGCATCGTCGATCCGAGCTCACTCTCGTCGCAGCGTCGTTATTACTAACCAGCTCCGAGGCAGAAGACGAGTATGTAGACGCACACCGACGTGAGTGGCAGCCAGTGCATTCGATCTGCCAGCTCCGGCTGATAGTTCTTCAGGATGAAGAAACCCGCCAAGGCCGCCAAGCAGACGCACATCGTCGCCAAGGAGATCGCCATGAGCAGCTTGCGTCCGAGCTGCGAACGTTTCGATCGCATCCGTAATGCCAGTCGGCCGTTAGATAAATTACAGATCGCAAAATCTGTGGAGCATGATATTCGACATCACAATAAACTTATCAAAGTATAACCTTGTCGATCAACAGTGTCGCCGCCACGCAAGCTACCACCTGGACGCTGCCGAAGATGACCAGCTCCACCTGCGACTCCAAGCCGACGCCTGTCGCCTCGAGGATCGTGAAGCCGTAGAATATTATGGCGTTAATGCCGCTGAGTTGCTGGGCAAACATTAGACCGTAGGCCACACCCAGAGTCTTCAGCACGGGCTTTCTCATGAAGGCCGAGATACCTGGTCTTTCAAGTTTGCTTCTCTCCACTTGTTCCTATTTTCTCCCATTACAGTGAATTAATAAAATCCACGCGAAAGTAATTATTACGCATTTTTATCGACTCCATCATTAACGAAATTAGATGGAGCAAATGAGAAATATCTTATGAGAATGAAAAATTAGTAATTAACAGCTATAAGAACTCCTACTCGGATTCGTTATCTACATTCAAAATTCCACACTCGCTATTGTCGTTAAATAATTGTTTCATCCAAATTTAAGAAATTTGTAGACTGTAGATTGTCGACTAATTAGTAACGACGTAATCGCGACGTTTGACGAACCTTGAACGCGTTCATCTCCGGCACGATATCGAAATCAGGGCCGCGAAAGAATCGCATGGACTTTTCCGCGTCTTCTTCCTTATTTTTGATCAAGTAGTACAACGGGCTCTCCGGCATGAAGGCCAACGTCACGCCGAACACGATCGGCGCGATGCAACAGAAGATGGATATCCCGACCACGCTTCGCGTGAAACCGCTGCAGTACACGTACAGCACACCGATCACGAGCAGCAACTGGAAGAAGACGCCCGTCGTCCCTGTTACGGGAAAGGAAGAACCGCATAATGAAGCTGCTACCTCTTCTTCTTTGCCTCTCGTCGCTCGGCTAAGCGACGGTGAATCGCGCGCGCATTAAAGATGCAAGGAGAACGAGCTCGTGTGCTGAACGATGATAGGCACTAATAACATCGCTCCGTAAGCCGTCTTATTCTGTGTTCCAATTATCCACATAATATCACGCGTCATTATTACGCGTTGAATCATCCGCATTCAATTTTGTTTTCATCTCACATTAAAGTGTATCAGTTTCACACTCTTTATTATGGCAACAACAGTACCACAAAATGTACTTCAACTAAATATCATTTTAGCATTTTAAAATAAATGATATAATGACAATGTTCCATATATCACAAGCTCATACGACTCTTTCTTCAGACACACGAGCCGCAAGTAAATGACCTCGACCGTGTCGTAAATTATTCGCGAGGGTCTAGGATTAATTGCACGAAGGCGATATATACCTCTGATCTGCTTCTCGGAGATCTCCGCGGAGTACATGGGCGCGAGGACGCAGCACATGCCGCCACAGGCGCCGGTCACGAGCCTGCCCATCACGTAGAACGGTACCATCGTGCCCGCGCAAATGAGCAGGATCCAGCCGCCGACGAAGACCGGCACCATGGCCATCATCGTCCACTTCCGGCCGATCCTGTCGAACAGCAGGGGCACGGTGAGAGTGCCTAGCGCCGCGCCTATCGGGAACACCGACGCGATCAGGTTTATCGCGAAGTCGTCCAATTGGGTCCTCAGTATTTCGACGGACGGCGCGCTCCAGCCGAGGCCGCATCCCAACGAGAATCCACCCATGCAAGCTGCGCGAAAGAAGGAAAAAGGAGTTCGTTGACCGCGAACACGACCACCACGGGATTTACGTTACACGTATGGCGATTTGTTCGCCCCGGCGCGTCCGTAACGACGGGCCGTTCTTTTAAGCCGCGGTGTACTTGAAACGCTCCCCTTCGCCCTCCTCCCCCTCCTGCCCCTTGCCCAGACGGTTTTTTTTCTCACCGGATGTTCATTATGGCGCTACGGCGGCATTTAATAATTCCGACATGTTCGCCGATGTTGCCCTCCGTGTTTCTCCCAGCCGCACGTCGTCGGTCGCCGTCATTGTCGTCGCGACGATGCGATTGCTCACAGTCATTAACCCTTTGACTCTCAACGTCATGCACATCGTTTGATACACCGCAATTTAGCACGCAAACACAAAACCGTCACACGGATATCACGAAGGTTTCGAGGTTTCACAAAGGTTAGCCCGGAAAAATTTACCAGCTCCCCCTGAAATCGACTATCTTACGCAAAGGGGAAAACCTGCAGCAGCGGCGACATATTGAGGAATCCTCCTGCGGAGCAAGATGGTATCTGTTCTCCGTTCGTTCTCTGTCATCCTTATTTAGGATCGATCGGGACGATTAAACGATGATTTTCGGCATACCATCAAGAAACGATTGTATCCTGCTTCCGCCTCGTTTCGTTAGCGATGTTCATTCTTCGTTAATCTTCCCGCTATATTCGTTCATAAGAGAAAGATATATATATAAGTACGTATCTATACGATGTTCTATTATTACAATTATCGTAGCGGCGTGATTTTGAAAACAGTGAGACAGTAATATCAGGTCAAATCGCGTGTACAATGAATATGAAGATTTTTTATAATTGCACATGTTCTGAGAAAATCATAAAACAATTTGCAAGCATAAGAAATTATCCCGCAGCTCGAGCTCTCCAATCCCCTATGTTCATTTCTAATAATCGAGTCACGCATGCAGTGCTTCGTTATCCCAACGTTGTAGTTAGGCGCATTGCACAATGGAGAGCACGAGGAATGGAAAATCGGTTAATCGTAAACCAGCCAGTCGTAAGGCGCTCGCGACTTAGTAGTACACGCCGGGAAGCCTTTTCCATTCTCTTCATTTTTATCCTTCCTCGGCGTTCCACGCAAATTCTATTCAAGCGCTATTTCGAGGCGCTTACACGGTCGTTTTATAAGATTGCTGTGAATTACTCCGAATCGGCGTCATAATTCGCGCGATTGCCAAATGATCATTCGCATGGCGAAACTTTCGCTTCGGAGCGACACGAGACGCAAAGAAGTGCAACCGTACCCTTCTACATTTTTTTTACATATTATGTCATAAATAAATAATATTGTAAATGACATAAGGAAAGCTTTTCGCGCGAAACGCAATCAGAAGAATCAACAATATTATAAATAAATTTTTCTTGACAAAGATTATATGTACAGAACTATCCTATTCGACATTAATTTCGGACATTCAGTACGTTGGCCAGAAACACCTTTGAACTAGAGCTAAGTAAATAGCCGTCCTTGTGTCCTGCAAATGCAAGACGAGTGTTGTAGCGAAACGACTTAACGGACACGCTAATTACGGCGCCGTGTTCTCGCTGGGCTCGCAAGCAAGTGTCAGACGATCCCTAAACTACCCAAAGGACACGATCGACATATAGCCTGGCGCACATTTTCGTGCTCCAATAAACTTGGCGAGTCTCTCGCGCGTACCCGTACAGAGCGACGGAGGTAATAGGGATAACCGTCCCTTCCTTACGCCCGGTTACTTCGGCTAACGACATTCAAATTTCATTAAGGCGCCGCGCGATGTGCGCTTGACAACTTTCGGATTGCAGATCGACTCCTCAGAGCGGAGGGATTCTCTTCCGTCGGCAAAACGATCGACGAGAACAAGAGCGAAAACAAGACGAGTTTATTTGTCACGTGACGCACGACGACCGATTCGTGGCAATAATCTGTATAGCTGTGTCTCATTTCTTTGATTTAAAAACAGTCCCTGACAGATAGAACACGAGATTTTAATGAGAGTCACAAACGTCGTCGTAACGTTTCAATTCCATATCAAACGTGCAATTCCGATACGTAACGTAATTAAAGCCGCGGCGACGTCCATTTACCAGATATTTGATTAACACGTTCAATGCCGTGATCGGTCATCGATAACTGGCACCACGATATCGATGTATTACCCTGACACGCAATACATTGAATACGCAACAAATTACATACGCGTCAATAGAAAACAGATTAAACGAGATAACGAGTACGTATTTGCGAGAAAGCATTTGCTTATCGCAGAATTTAATGCGTAATCCGTAATTAAAGTTTTGCAAACGTAATCAAAAAATTAACGTAAGCGCTCGATCTATTTTTGAAATGAAAATATATCTTAAGTGGAGGCATAAGGCTAGTAGTCGGTTCTTATGTCAAGACCGTTTTAAGTAAGTGTCTCAAGATGTCAAAAACCCTCCTGAAATTGTTTTATGACATCTTAAGGCTGTACTTAAAGATTGTTATAAATATAAGAATAAACTATAAGCACCGGCCATGGAGTTTCAGATCCTTTGATATTGTTTCACGTAATATACCGTATGACTGCGTAAAAGAATACGTCAATGCTATTCTAATAACGATAAAAACTCGTTAAATTACGTAGATATCGATCTCGCGGAATAAAAAACTATTTTCATGCAAAATTCGATTTGCAGTAGATTCAAGGTTATCGTGTTATTCTTGCAAACTCTTCAATTACGACGATCACATTTACATACGTCTTCGATTAATTAAATTACCGCACGTCAATAGGCACTACATAATCTACATTGTTTACACGTTCAGCGATTGTTTGACAAATGACTACATTGGTCGTGAATGGATACGGTTGGTAAATACGTTATATAACGATTCTCAAATTAGACTGTTTTTCTAGATTTCGATATCATGACGATATTTGCCTCTATACGGTTTCTGCTCGCACCAATTTGTATGAAAATTGAGCGGTGATGCTCAGAATCAAAGTTCTAACCGAATAATCCTATTTTTGCGGACGACAAGCCAGCGACGAGAATTAGCCCTATATAACCGATAACGATAAAGGAATATCGTGCATGTATGAATCTTGATCGGCTGGCTTCGTACGAACGTATCGTACGAGAACGCGAGAGGAAGAAAAAAAAGCACAATGTCTCCAAATGGAATTCCCCTAACGTGAAACGATAAGGGCCGTCGCAATATGTGCCTGGAGAAAAATTCCCCGTAACTCGAGAGCATATTGTTCCCCCGACGTATGAAGAATTCACCCCGTTACTGCCCGCCGCCCTCGCAAATTTATCTATAATAGAGCGATAGTCGTTCAAAAACCCATGCCGTCACTTTTCTTCTTACTGCTTTCCAAGCATCTAAAAGACGGTGCGCACCTCCTACCGAAGGAGGACACGTCGCGTTTTCATAAATCGTAATATACCATCAGCCGCAATTTAAACGGTATTACTCAGAATACGTTCGAATTATCCTGCAATAACCTGCATTAATTCGCTACGAGTCATAATGACCTTTAATGGTTTGCCAACAATAAAAAAAAATAAGTCATTGGCCGCGGCCTGACTGGCCGTCGAATTGACCTTCACGAATGCGACAGCAGCGATCGTTTGCCAATGATTGAAATTCTCGAAATCGCGACGCCACAATTTCGCTTAATTGCGCGCGACGCATTTCGCGCGCGGACGATGCAATAATTGTCTTCCGGCATTGCGCGCCTGCTTTTTATCGTACGCACGCGAACCGAGTGCGAAGAGAGGATGACTCTCGAGCACGTCGTGTACGCCGGCAACGGCGCGGCGGAGTTCCCCGGATCCTCCTCTCTCACCGTGAGAAAAGCTCATTTGCATATAAATATAAGTAAAAAGTGCATTTGCATTTAAATGTGCGACCCGGGGTACTCCCGCTCTCGCCGACATCGACGTCGTATCCTCGATCGAAAGTTAACGGCGGATAGGCCGCATAGATAATGACACACGAGGTTTAATAAAGGGGAGTGAAAATGAATGACTCTATCAGTTCCCCGAAACAATTATTTCTCATCAAAGTATGTCAATATCACGAAGGAGAACGAATATCGTTTTATTATGCGGAATTAAAAGTGCAAATAATTTGTGTTCTTGCATATATCCTCATTTCTGTTTAAAAGTCTAAATTAAAAAAAATTATATACGTACATAAAAAAAATACTTATATAGAAGCAATCATATAATTGCAGGTTAAACAAATATTAATATAGTCGTCAAATATACATACTAGTTTAATATCAAACAATTGAGATTATCAATAATTGTTTAAAATTGAATTTAAATCATGCCGAGCATGAATAAATACAAATAATCTATTTGTTTCCATGATTGCAAACGACACCGCTGAGTACGACATCATCCGCACTTATTGAGGCAAGTTGTTCATTCGTTAATTTATTATTTATTAAATTAAATTGTTTACTTCATTATCCATTTAACTAATTTTACTTCATTTGTTTATTCGTTATTTATTCGCTCGTTTGATCTAAATCCGGCTTAAAATTCAACGATTGTAGATAATTGCAAGCCGGATTTCTCTTTCGAGAGACGCAAGGAATAAAATATCAGTCGGCACCGGCAGGTTGAGAATAGAACGGGCACGTGCTCGGTGTTTAACCGCGAAGTCGGTCGGCGAGTTCCCGAAAGCGGATTTCCCTGCGAGCCTACTATCGTCGGCGTCCAGCCCGCGTGAGGAAAGAGGAGAACTGTCGGTCGGCACAACCGCCGCGTTGCTGCTACGCAGTTGTGCACGAATCTGAGAAGCTGCGAAGACAAGAAACGTTTAACCGCAGGTTGCAAGGGTGTAAAATAGTCCGGCGGCGCGAGAGGCGCGATAACGTTTCAATTAGTTTGCGAATGCGACTCGCTCGGTCCGGCTATGCAGCGCTCCGCCAATTGCCCGAATCGTGGATCTAGAAGAGACCTCGACCTCGCTTAAATCGTTACACGCTCGACCGTGAGCAATTAGTCTGGCAAATTGGCGGTCGGCACTTACGTACCCCCGAATCCCGTCTTCGATAAACGGAAATTTTACACGAAGGTATTCGCGGCGGTGAATTAAACCCGCGAATTACCGCAGGTGAAAATAGCGCAAAGTATCGGTTTATAAATAACTACGTTCGCTCGCGCCCGGCAGAAAAAAACCTGATACAGAACACCCGTGGGTATCCCGTCAGACTCGATTATCGCGTTACCTCAAGCCGAAACTTCGGGAAACGCGCGGTGATCCGTGGTGTGCGCGTTCGATCATCCGCGACAGTCACGAAAGGTCCCTCGTCGGGGATAATAATTAAATGTAATCGTGCGTTAATGAGGCCTCTAGAAAAAGAAGCGAGCGCATTTATAATTCTCAGATCTCTCCTCGAGATTTCTCCCGCTCTCCGATTTCTATAGCGAGCATATACGCGATACTTCTAAACAACTTACATAAGCGGCCGGCTCGGCTTTAGCTACCTTGAAGTCGGTCGTTGCCGCTGACTCCC